GTCTTCTTCACTAGATCCCTCTTGTTTTGTGGCTAATGTCTCACATGCGAGCCTACGTTATGACACACTGGTATTTTACTCTTACTTTGAACAAAAGAAAAAAACTCTTAATACTAGGGTCTGAATTATATCAATGATTCTAATGAATTTCCAGATTCTTCCAAGGAGTTTTGTGAGGGCAAATGGTTTAGAGACAAGATTTGGGCAGATTATTATGATGAATGAAAAGGGTAAATCATGGACTTTAGTTTTGAAACAAAAGAAATTACATCCAGTTACTTATATCAGAGGAGGGTGGAGAAATTTCTGCCATGCCAATAAACTTAGAGCTGGAAATTTCTATACTTTTAAATTGATTCAAAGAGGAAGAACTTTGGTTCTACGTTTTTCGCCTACCGAGCCAGAAGAAGAAGAAGAGAACTCAGAAGCTAATGAAGTAGAGTCTCTTTCCTCAGAACCGGAAAGCGATGAAGAGAGCAGCCAAGACGAGAGGAGCTCACAAGAAAAGGAAAAGAGGGGTAGATCTATATGGAAACCTTCATCTTCACCATCTCAAAACCGATTCGTGACAGTAACTGTTACACCTTACAACTTCAGAATATCTAGACTGGTTAGTTTCATATCACCAAGCCATTGTGTTTTTATAGTCTTATCATGTTGAATCCTTTGTCTATATCTTTGGTTCAGGTTCTTCCAGTACCTTACACAAAAGTGACTGGCATAAAAAATGCAAAGAATGTGAGTCTGTTGGACAAACACGGCGTGAAGTGGTCTACGGAAATGTTGTTTGAGAAGAGAACTAAGAGAATGAGATTGGTAGGAAGTTGGAGAGAGTTCTGCAATGCTAACTGTGTTGAGATAGGAGAGTCGTTCATCTTGGAGCTCATTTGGGAAGCAGACAGAAGCTCTGTTCTTAAGTTCTCCTCCAAGGTGAAGCCCAAGACCAAATGAAAATGTAGTTGAGTTTCTTGAACTGCAAGAATCAATGTTTTAACTCGGTATGTGTTGTCCTTATTCTGGAATGTTATTTTTGTGTGAAGAAAACATTGTAAGTTGCTTTTGTTGTGTGACATTCTGGTTCTGGTTTCAAGTAGTGTGGTACGTGCCTAATTATAACTTTTGTTTTCTAGCTTAATTTCCCCTTCTTACTACTAATTTACAAGAAGTTTGATGCTTCATATAAATAAGCTAATTTCTGTAGTCCCTTACTGTTATGGTCATAAGACGATTGGAACACAGCTCAGGCTTAGTGGGACTGTCCATTGTGACTACCCTGGTAGGTAATGCAGTTCGTGTTTCTTCAAGTGTTAAGGTTCTGTATACCGATGTTTTTGACACTGAAAGATTGAAGAAATTCTCTGTCATGACATAAATGTTCACATCCCGCATCATTATATTATCAAAAATTACCGAGCTACAATCTCTCTCAAGTCTTGACAGAGAAGCTCTACTCTTGCTCAGTGAGCTTTTATTGTGCGCCGTATTCTGAAGTATACGAATCTAGCTACATGGAATTGGCGCTCTGTAGAGACAATATTGACTCTATGCCATGTCTTTGATAAAGAGGGAAACAACATTGCTTTGGACCGGTTATTCCCCTGAAGACTCTCTACCTGTAAATTTCCTCAAGAAAGCAATGCCTGCCTCCTTGAGCTGATTGATAAATGCGTCAAAAGGATTCTTTGAGTTTTAGATAAGCTTTTCAAGATTCTCTCATATTTCACCTAAAATTATACCGCTATATTCTTTCCAATGCTCTGGCTAGACATTCCACGCCTACCAAGAAGCGAATGACCGAGAAAATCCTTTCAAAACCAGCAATCTAAATTTTAGACATGATCCATTTTCTTTGATGAGAATATAGCTTTTAAGAATGGAAATCAGTCCAAGTGATCAAAAAGTGTAGAGATTAATTTTTGCAAAGTGGTGAAAAGAAGTGAATTAGATTCTTTGAAGATCAGAGCTTATCTACAGTACTAGCTCTGAAATTGTCATGCCACAAATTTTCCGAGAAAGTATTGGTCAAAAGTAAAAAAAAAGAGAGTAAAAGAAAATTCCTTCTAAAAACTAAAGCTAAATTCTTGGGGACATCTTTAAGAAAAGTGAAATGAAGATATAAACTTAACTGCTCCCAAAAGACAGCAGCAGTTGCAACCACTCACATGTCCTAAAGGAATCCTTAAGAAAACCTTAAAGAAAGTCAGATTGAGATTTTGGAGATGCTCTTCACTGCTTAGACCACCATAGAAGAAGCCAAAAAGCAAACTGAACATAAAGCAAACTGTAACTAAAAAAACTCTGAATCGAATAAAGACAGGGTACTGTTAATCGGTTTAAGAGCCATAAAATCGATATCATTTCTTAGTCACACGTCACAAGAAGCAACACTTTTTTGTATAGAACAAAACTATGATCAGTCTAAAGCTGTTTTCTTTATC